TATCCTTTAGGGAGCAACAGTGTCCAGTGAACTGTCTACCGTCCACTGTTGAAAAATCCTCCTTCTTCTAAGGAGCAAGGGAGTCCAATGAGCTACCTGCTATCCACTCTCTAGAGTTCCTCCGTCCTCTAGGGAGCAAGGGAGTCAGGTGAGATGTCCGTCGTCATCCGCTGTCCAGAGATCCTCCATCCTCTAGGGAGCAAGGAGTCTAGTGAGTTGTCTGGCGCCCACTGTCTAGAGACCCTCCATCTACCAGTGAGCCACGCCTTTTCCAAGCTCCATTGTGGTCCAGCAAGCATGACCGACCCTTGTCCTGCGAGTCCCACCCATAAGAAATACAATAGACTAGTTGTACAAGTTGAGAAAAGTAATGCTGTTAAAGAGTAGAGAGTGGGGATCTATATATAATTTGGTCGGACTTAGATGATCGAATTATTGGAGATAGTCATAGACTCTCGTAGCAAGATAGAGAAATGAGTTAAAAAGAGAGATGGGCGCGGAACGTCTATCCTTCAATAAGATCGGAACACTCAACCGCCGTGACATAGATATCGGGTTGCGGTTTAGAGGCTCCCAAAAAATATTGAAAAGCTAACCCCGAGAAAGTCCTCTTTCTCGAGGCATCAAGTCTTCTTTCCAAGGCACTAAAAAGAAAGAAATGTCTTCTTCCCTGAAGCACCAAGTCCTCTTTCCGAGGCACTAAAAAGAAAGAAAGGTCCTCTTATACGAGGCACCAAATCCCTGAGAAAAGTCCTCTTCTAAGAGGCACCAATCCCAGAGAAAAGTCCTCTTCTAAGAGGCACAAAGTCCCGAGTAGTTCCTCTTCCCAAGGCACTAAAAAGAAATAAAAGTCCTCTTCCTAGAGGCACCATGTCCTAAGAAAGTCCTCTTCCAAGAGGCACATAGTCCGAGAAAGCCCTCTTCCAAGAGGCTCAAATCCTCAAGAAAAGTCCTCTTCCAAGAGGCACCAAGTCCCGAGAAAATCCTCTTCCAAGAGGCACCAAGTTAAATCCTCACCCACGAGGTAACGAGACCCTCCAAAAATGAAAGTCCTCTTCCCGAGGCAACGGGGAAAGTTCTATCTCATGAGGCAACCAACTAAGTCATATAGTTTTTGAATCTATCTCGTTCTCTGAGACAGACTCAAAAGTAGGGGGGATGTGATGGATTAGAGATTTTACCTAATCCAATATCATTTGAGCAGTACAAGAAAGCCCAATTTTATTCGGCTCAAGATATAAATCAGATAAATATATGGACAGAATAAGATAATTGAAGTGATATAAAGATATTTAGTGGGGCCATGAAACCTCATCACATGAAGGGCATGTGAACTTCACATAGAGGCATGCCCCCTATGTCCCAATACATTATTTCTCCCTATTATAAAATAGGAGCTACGTAAGATAGGGGGAAGAGCATCCTACTAGAGTTCCAAATAAATCCATTTTTCCTTCTTCTTCCCTTTGAGTTTTGAAGTTCCATTAATTAATAGCTCTAAATTTCTACAAAGATTATGCAAATTCTTTCGAGATTAATAAAACTTCCTCTGCTTGACATGACACCGTCTAAAAAGGCCCCTGGTTTCTCCCAATTTGGATTTCCACCTATAAATGCTTTTTCTCCACTTTATTTATTTATTTATTCATTCATTTATTTATGTGTTTGATACGACACCATTGGACCATGGGATGGGGGAAGCACGGGAAACCGATGACCAGACCAGGAAGCTGAGGAACAGAAGGTCGCTTATGTACAGGAAGCCGACGTCCGGGGAGTTCGTCGAGCGCGAAAGACGCCGGTTTGGCATGATGATTATATTTTAAACTAAGTTTTATTATTATTATTATTATTATTATTATTAATATCATCATCATCATCATCATGTAATAGTCTTTTTTTAAGTGAGCAAAATTATAAGCTCCTTTGAGGGTTTCTTTACAGTTATTTACCTTGTTGCTTTTTTTGAACCGTCGGGGTAGAAAACGTAATTAAATAAGGAATGATTAGGGTTAGGGTTTTTTCTGCACCTATAAAAAGGAGGTGTACCTATTACTAAAGAGAACAATAAGAAAAACCTAATTTAAACCCTACTTCTTCTCTTACGGCACACGACCATTGTTTGCAAATTCTTTTCTCTCCTTCCTCTAAACTTCTAGAGCTAGAAGACGCTCGAAATCTTCCCTATCTCGATACTTTAACGTATCAAAGTTCTTTCATTGAGAGAATATGACGGAAGCCTCGTTTGTGACAGTTCAACTCGAAGGGAAGGTTGGCGAGCTAGGGCATGCCATGGTACAAATGCAGCGAGATATTGAATTTTGGTTCGCCCGAATTGACGCGGCCCTGACTGCCATCCAAATGAATCTGTCCACCCTCCAGGTTGGTGGAGGGGGACGCAAAGGGCGGCAGATAGACCACCTGGAACCGGGCAGAAACGGCAGGGTGGCTACGCTGAAGCCCAAGTTGGAGCCGCCGAAGAGCGACGGAGCTGAACCCCTACGGTGGTTGTACCAGGTAAAGGAGTATTTTTCTTACTACGAAACTCCTCTGGAAGAACGGATGTGTGTTGTGTCACCATGATGCTTGAAGGTCAAGCAGTCGATTGGTTTCGTTAGAGGAGGAACAACGCATTGATCGATGGTTGGGATGACTTCGTGGAGAAATTCAAACAACGCTTTGATCCGTTGCACTACGTTGACTATTTGGGACAATTTGCGCGAGTGCGGCGGGTGGGCGGAGTAATGGACTATCAGGCCTCGTTTGAGAAAATCCTCACCCACGTGACGAACTTTCCCGAGCAGCACCTTTAGTCTTTGTTTCATGCGGGGCTCAAGCCACACCTACAACATGAAATCAGTTTGCTCAGGTCGGTCTCGCTATCAGATTCCTTCATCGTGGCTTGGGAATTAGAGGTGAAACACAATGCTATTGTGCAATCGGTTAGTGCCAGGGGGGAACATGGAGTTCAAATCCCAATCACAGCAACTTTTTCATCAGGACGTTCAGCCTCGAGTAGTGGAAATCGTAGAAAATAGTCAAGCGTTACTACAGGCCTTTTCGAGTATTGGAGCGTGTTGGCCCTGTCGCCTATCGTTTGGAGTTGCCAGAAGGGTCGCGGATACACCCAGTTTTTCACGTGGCTTTATTGCATCCCTATTATGGTGAGATTCCGGAGGACTCCCCAATACCCTTGCCGGAGGAATTTATCCAGGGACGACCCCTCTCCATACCCGTCCGGATACATGCAAGCCGCCAGATTCTATGACGAGGGAAGCCGCTACAGTAGTACCTGGTGGAATGGTCAAACGGCACTACGGATGATACCACATGGGAGTCGTGTGATGTGATACACCGCCATTATCTTGATCTCCACCTTGCGGACAAGGTGGTTTCTCAAGCGGGGAAGAGTGATACGACACCATTGGACCATGGGACGGGGAAGCACGGGAAACCGATGACCAGGAAGACCAGGAAGCTAAGGAACAGGAGGTCGCACATGAACAGGAAGCCGACGTCCGGGGAGTTCGTCGAGCGCAGAAGACGCCGGTTTGGCATGACGATTATAATTTAAACTAAATATTATTATTATTTTTATTATTATTATCATTTAATAGTCTTTTTTAGGTGAGCAAAATTATAAGCTTCTTCGAGAGTTTCTTTACGGTTATTTACCTCGTCGCTTTTTTTGAACCGTCAGGGTAAAAAACGTAGTTAATTAGGAATGATTAGGGTTAGGGTTTTTTCTACACCTATAAAAGTAGGAGTACCCATTACTAAAGAGAACAATAAGAAAAACCTACCTTAAACCCTACTTCTTCTCTTACGGCGCACGACCATTGTCTGCGAATTCTTTTCTCTCCTTCCTTTAAACTTCTGGAGCTAGAAGACGCTCGAAGTCTTCCCTATCTCGATACTTTAACGTATCAAAATTTACCGGATTTCGCTATTTGGTGTGGTGGCGACCCAGTACCGAGTTCGTCGAGTCGACGCCGTGAAAAAATGGTTTCCATCAAAGCTAAAAGAAGTTGAAAGTTAACTTTTCTAACCCCAAAAAAAACCTAAAAACCATGCCCACAAAGAAAGATCTATGTGCAAGTGTGTATAAATCATACAATCTCTGAGATTACTACTTTGGTCTTGTTTGATTTTTTTTACGTCAAACTGGTCGTACTTTAAACCTCAATTACTTTCAATTTATATACTCCCTCCGTCTCAAATTAAATTATCAATATACTATTTACACGGTCAAACTTTATTTATTTTCTTTTCATATTTTCATTAGTAATTTGATAAAATAATATAGTCATGTCACCACTAGTTTTATATATCTTTTGATTTAGTTTTTAAATATGTAATTTTTATTTTTAAAATTTATGCCATTTTTCATAAAAAATGATTTGAAAATAATTTTAATCAAACATCGTAAACCAAAATAGATGATTTAAATTGGGACAAAAGAAGTATCATATTAATACAATATAATACACTTTTAAAAGTTCTTAACAAGATAAATCTAATAACATTATTATTGTACTATTATAGTAAATACTCCGTATACATTATTATTTTTATTTTAATTGACATCCAAAACTCGCCCAATTTGACTTGAAAAAATTAAACATCAAAGATACACAAGAATGGGGATATTTGTGATTACATGTTCGACCAATGAAAATCAATCAAACTAAAACAGCAAAGCAGCAAACTAGCTTTAATTTAGTTTTGTTACTCCCTCTTCAAATTAAATTGTCGTTCTACTTTTCCTTTTTGCATTCCTCCAAAAAAAAAAGATTGTACTTCTATGATCCTAAAGTCCACACAAAGTCGACATGGACATCTTTAATATTTTACAAAGAGCCCAATTCATTCAAGACATTTACTCCATAAAATGTGTGTGGACTTCAAAGACCACAAGAATTTGTCATCCAAAAAATATGTTTGCTTAAATCTCAACTACAAAATTTTGAATTTTGAATTTCAATGGTGCAAACTAAATATAGGCAGATGGTAGTTTCTTCCATTTGAAAATTTTGAATGGAAGATCAGATAGATACTACAATAGTTTAAAGTTCCCAAGAAACTTTCGATAATACAAAAACATGCATTCTACAAGTGCCAACTACCAGAATGCGTTAAACAGGCATTGCAAGGAATAAACAAAAACGACTACAACGGTAGCGGATAAAAATGTTCAGAGGCTTCTTTGCTAGACAACACTTTTTGAATGCTAGTAGCAATTTTGGAACTTACCTGAACTTAGGCCGCTTTGAGGGGGCAGCACTACTACTAGGCCCTGCCCCCCTTGACTTACCAAAAGTCTTCTTCCTTCTTCGCCTCTCATCCTCACTGTCTGATTCATCACCTTTCTCCCTATCTGCATAGCTTGCCTCCCTTTCCAACTCTTCCCATGTTTTGCCTTTCTCGTCTTCTGATTCCTCGTCCTCCTCTTCTTCCTCTTCGTCTTCCGACTCCACCAAAGAAGCACTCTCGGACTCATCATCCTCAGAATCTGATTCGGGTTCATCGTCAGTAGGCTCAAATTCTGCATCTGAGTCCTGTGTATTGTCACTTTCAGAGTCACTCCCTTCCAAGTTTAAGAACTCCCAGCCTCCATCCTCTATGAACTTCTGTGGATCATCAACGATTGTTTTTAAAATGAGGCGCCAGTTCAAATTAAGCTTGCTCTCGTAGTACTTGATGTCTGTGGTGTCAAGCCATTCTTTGATGCCGTCAAGTGAGGATATGGGTATAGAATCTATACGCATCACGTCACGCTTGAAGTCCTTGAAAACAATTGCCATGTCAAAGTTCTTCTGTCCAAAACCTGCCCTCTCCAAGTTGACAATCTCTATCTCGCCAAGGGTGATGACAAGGAATGGATTCTCTATCAGCTCAACCAAACAGCTTGAGGTCGGAACTATGAAGGCTGACGATTTGTAGGGAACACCATGAAAACCAAGTTCTCTCAGAGGCTGATCAAATTCCAGGTCAAGACCTTTGAACTGCGGCTGGCTCCAGATATCATTCACTCGATTCACAAAATTCTGAAAATCCATGTTAATTTTGTTCTTCCGATCCCTCTCCCTTTGTTCTTCTTCAATCTCATCCGGGTCATAGGCAGACCTCTTTCCACCCCCAAGGGTTTGGACAATATCCATCACCTCCACATAAAACTGCACGTCCTTGGTTTTCCTGGTCCCCACCATTATGTGGTTGTGGAGATGAAAATGAAGGAGCGTGATCATTTCTTTCTCTGCTGGCTGGAAAAAGGCATGCTTAACATTTGCATACATAATGTCAACACGTTCATCTCTTGTCGTAGAATATCGAAACCCATTCACATGAGCTTCCAGAGTTCCGGGAAGCTTTCTTGCACGACCACCAAAAGTGGGACGTATCCACAAGTCAGACAACTTGACCGGCTTAAATTTATTACCAGCTAGAACAAGCTTCTCTTGAGTGACTAGAGTAGCTCTCTCAGCTTTTTCAGACTCCCTTTGCACGACATTGCGTCTAAGTGTTTTAATCATCTGGACCACCTCACTTATATGACGAGAGTCCTTGGAACGATATGAAACCTCCTTCAGATAAATGGCCGATTGATTCTTTGGCACAGCACTTACATCACTGGGTGCAAAAGGCATGCCTGGAACATTGAAGATGATTCGTATGTAACAGTTGCGGTTAGTGTCAGACTGACTCGTCACGGTCTTCACAGTAGAGACATGGAAAGGCACCATGCTTCCATATATAGGTAGAAGGAGAGCTTCATTCTTTTGGTCAACCTGGATCATCATGTCCTTAGGAGGAGGTGGTAGATCATTAACATTCTTGTAGGCTACAAGTTCACTTGAACCCCGAACAGCAGACCGATTATCTCCATTAGTGACACCTTCACCCGCAAGTCGTCTAGCAGTTTCCACATTTTTCTGCCGGGCAAGTTCAGCTTGGTGCTGCCTCCGCAGCTCTTCTTTGGATATCTCTTGATTGTCTGAACGAAGTGTTGCCTTTGAATGCAAAGCTTCCTTGCTAATGGACTCGGCTTTGACTTTAGGCTTCTCCTCCTCTTCATCCTCGTTGAACGAGTATGCCACATCCTTGAGAGCTTTGGACATCAGCTGGGTTGCAACCTCACGGCTTTCACTTCTTACAATCACTGTGTCTGCAAGAAGAAGTGAGAAATTCCTACTCTTCGGATTGCTGGTCTCAGCCTGCAGATTCTGAAAACCCAGAGAGACATTAAAGACCATTCCTTCTTTCAGCACTTTATCATTTTTTAAGTTTAGCAGCAATCCTGACTCTCGAAACTCAAGACCAATTCCTGCTCCTGCTGATTTTGTTAAGTTGCTAACCAGTTCGGGGGCATCCATCTCAACCACAGCAAGTGCTGCCTGATAAACAGCATTGATCTTATTACCTGGTTTCAAGGCAGCAATTGCTGCTTCCTGGGCTTTGAGAAGCACTTCATAAGCCTTGCTCTGCGTTGAAGTCGAATCAATAAGAAACGTTCTAGCAACACTTGAGCAGTAACTGTTGTATCGAGACCCAACAGCACATATGATAATGCTGGCAGAATCATAGTACAGAGTTTCATCATCGCTAGCAGCACCGGGTCTGAGATCAAATTTCCCACCACTCTGGAAGATGGGCGGGTAACAAATATCAACATTATCAGGATTCAGCTTCACGTTAACTTTATGTGGTTCCAGTATGGCCTTTTCTGTCTCGTCCGTGAGTGAAGAATGTGTAACTCTTTTCTCCTCATCTATGACCTTCTCAAGCTTTGGAACAACAAAGTTCCTCAATGTAGAAGCAGACAAATAAGCAGCTTTTTTCACATTTATTAACTCGGTCTGGTCTTTTATAGCTAAGATGTCAGATATTCCTTGTGTTATATCACCAAGCTGCAGTCCAGATTTCTTTAACTTATCAGCCCACC